ATTTTTATATTATCAGGTCAAACATCAAATGGGAAGAGTGTTTGATATTGCTGCTGATTACTGCAAACACATAAGCATCGCCGTCAACAAGGAAGGACGTGTGTACATAAGGGGGTTTTTGTCGCAAAGATGCCATTACGAGCCCAATCGCCACTCCTTGCTTGAATGTGCACAACGCGTTTGCATCTTTACACGGTGCCGCATGTTATGCACGAACCGTTGATCCTGAATGCGAATGAAGAATCGGAAATATTAAAAGATCTGAAAATTGCATTCGACAATCCCGTATGTTTTGTTCTTTGTGCGGTATCTGTTTGTTTTACGTGTACTTTCTCGCACTTTCTAAATACACGTTGAAATAAATGACTGCATTTAGTAGACAGAGTCGTTCAATGAACAATCAGAAAAATTAACATAATTGTTTTTGCGGATATAAATGTACAAAAAGTAATCACTGACGAACGATTTTATCTTAGGAATGCGGCCAACAATACTGAGACGATAAATATGCGCAATTAAGATTAATAGATTTACTTACTAATTCTGTCTTTATTTATGAATATATGATTTTTATCCACAATGGAAATATTAGTGTGTGTATATATATGTACTAATGAGATAGAAAATATGTACTAACGTTTTCATTGTAGTAGTTAACATTTATCGTTTTTGTTAAAAAAAAAAATCTATTTTAATTATAATATTACTAGCTGAAGTTTATTACTAGATAAAATTCTATTTTTTAAATGTCTATATGTTTAGAAAGAGAAAGAATGTACTAACCTGACAATGTGAGCACTTTAATATGTTTTATTCTCGATTTTAATTGAAGAATGAGACAAATAGTTTATATGAAGTTAATTTTGTACGCATCTGTCTTTAACGTTTCCCTCATTTTTTACACAGTTGACAAGCGACTTTACAATACAAGTGGAGAGCAAATGTATTCACGTGCACAAAGCTATTTTGAAGATTCGCTCTTCGTACTTTAGAATGATGTTTCAACATGTTTGGTCGAAAAATAATCAGAGGTACGTAATGATTTAACAAAAGATTAGTGTTGAAGTCTTTTTCTTCAATTTTCTCATTTTATTAACGTTCTTCTGTCCGGACAGTGTTATTCAGCATGATCAATATTCCTATAAAGTCTACAAAGCCTTTCTGAATTACCTGTACACCGACGTGATTGATTTACCCTGGGAGCAAACCGTTGGTGAGTAATATACCATAAGTTGTTATCAATCTAAGTACTCTCATGATTAAAGCAATATTTTTCGAAAACCTGTGAAAACAGAACTTTTCATCCTGGCTGACGCTTACTGTGAGGATAGTCTCAAGAAGCGATGTACTAAAATATTAAAGCATAAAATTACCGTATCGAATGTCACCTACTTATACAGCATTGCAACCAAATATAACAATAAGGTATTCAAACAGTGTTGTTGTTGACATTTATATATTTCATTAACTACAAAACTTATTTATTTATACATGTATATGCAATAATTAAATACCATTTGTAAATTTTTAGGAGCTAGAAGAGGTCTGTACTAAATTTGCCTTTTTTTATTTAACGAGTTTAGAACAAATAAAAAATGATGATAAAGAATATCAGAACGTAATAAAAGATTTAATACTTAAGGCGAGAGAAAAAGGTGGTTTTAAGATGTATACGCCTCTTCCGCTTAAGAACAAAACGCCGCTCCGAGAATGAATAGAATCGCTATAAATGTCTGTTGTTGCATGAGAATGAATAGAAGTTACTAGAAATATGTTGTATATTCACTCCCATATGGTTTTTTTATAATCGCGTAGTTTGTTGAAGTATTCCAATAATTTGTTTTCTTAATTGCATTTTGTTAGTAGCTTTTTCATGGAAGTAATAAATAAGTGGGATGACTTTCAGTAATATACATTGTTTTGCGTATTTTAATAAATTTGCGCAAGAGATTTCTTCGCCATTCTTAAACATTCTGATTGTTCAAACGTATCTGAGCTTTTTTTTAAAGTTGCATAAACATAGAGAAAAAATGTATTCGCTAAAACAATTAAGAAATTATAATAAATATACATATTTTGTATATAATAAATCTAAACTGTTAATTTTTAAATGTTACATATAGGCATTCTTTTTTTTCTTATGTTATTTTAAAAAATATTTAATATAATATAAAAAATGAGTAAGACGAGAAACACACACTTTTGCATAACGCATAAAGCATGTGCATAAGGAATTTCATTGGCCCATTTCCTTATGCATGAGTCAATGAACCAATCAAATTCTTTATGTATATGGTTTATGCGTTATGCAAAAGTCTGTGCTCCCCGCTTAACTTTAACAATTTTTAGTTTTAGTTTAAAGTAGCTACATTTTGCAAGTTAGCCATGATTGAATTATTATAAATTCTACATAAAAAATTGTCATTGTTAATAAAGTGTAATTAAAATATGTATTTACTCATATATTCTGGAATTTAATATTTCAGGTTGATTCAAACCATTAAAAATACTAGTACAATCAGTAAACAAAAGACATTACTTTAGAAAACTAAATTTTTTTTTCTTTTTATATTATGTAGGTTTCTCTGTCCTCTAAGGAACACAATACTACAATTTAGTGAAGTAACAAGAGAGAACATTGACCTAGTTTACACCCAACCCCGTCCAATCCCGATTAACTTCGAAGTGAAGTGGATTTATAGATTGTTTACACCGGATTCGCTCTACTCCGCTGAGAAAAGAAGATTGAAATCAGTCGAAACTAATCCGTTTACACCCAAGAAATTTCACTTCACTTCGAAGTGAATCGGGATTGGACGGCTGGGTGTAAACTAGGTCAATGATAGTAATGGCAATTGTAACAAAGAGAATGAAGAATAAAAGAAAGAAAAAAAAAAGATTGGTCGATCAGGGGGTCAATCACGTAACTTTTTCTCTAGGGCGGAAACGTGAAAAGTGAAAACTTTTATGAATGCATGTATGTGAACATATACACACATCATGCAAAAAATTTTCACTTTTCACGTTTCCGCCCTAGGGGAAAAGGTACGTGATTGACCCCCAGGTCGAACGGCTGAGATCGTCTGGGGAGAGTGGGACTGGATTTTCCCCCTGGTGTCTTTCTCCCAGTGTTGCCAGATGCTTTTATCATATATGTAATACTACTATATGGCTAGATGAGAGAGAAGTCCATGTCCCAGAACCACGGTGCGGGAATATACTTCTCTCTCTTTCTCAGCGTACTTTGAACGTTGTGCGCATGCGTCGGATTCATCCCCTCCATCAATAATAAATAGAAGGATAAATATACATATATGTGTAAGGAAGAAGGAAAAAGTGATTGATTCCGCTTCAGGGTATAACCTTGTTACAGTTAACAGAGTCAGTTTAGTCGGAATAAATAAATTAATCCTAATTTTATGAAATAAACTTTTTCAAAATTGCCGTTATGTATATAAGAATACAGTGCAATCCCTTACAGAAATTTCATGATAATCAGTGCAAACTAATACCTATTTCATACCTATGCAAACTAATGTTTTCAGTCGCATTAGGCTTTTTGCCACATAAATAACATATCTTGACCATTTTTGCCTGTGTACAACAGCACACATCTAATAAGCATAACGAGCATAACCTGTTCGCGTCATCTCACTGATCGCACTCTATTTTCCTATTGGCGGATGCAATCAATCCAACGCATGCGCACAACACTCAAAGTACTCTTAGAAAGAGAGGGAAATATATATTCCCGCACCGTGGTTCTGGGACCGCTTCCTCTCACTCCCTCTTATAGGCACTAGCCATATAGTAGTATTACATATATGGCTTTTATAGACTTCCCCCTAAAACAGTCTCCCTAAGTCTCCCTCAGGCATAAATATCAGAGAAGCGCAACCGACTTAAGTCAGTATCGCAAAATTACTAAGAAAAGTAATAAAAATGGCGTCGTTTGCAGACGAAATATGAAATTCACCAAAGACATAGAGAATGGACTGCGCGATCCGTGTGTCAAAATGATCGATAGGGATGAGAGAGAGGGACCGTGGAAGATGGCCATCTCCCTCTCATTCTCTCTTCCATTACACCATCGAATGGAAAAAGATAGAGATGGCCGTCTTCCACGGACTCTCTCTCATTTTCATCGACACATTTTGATATACTACTTAGATACGGGATCGCGCAGTCCATTCTCTATGTCTTTGAAATTCACCAATCGTCTATTAGTCAGCCATTTTTATACCACTGAATGAAGTCATGATTGGCTGCTATCTAGGGCTGCGTTCCGTTTCAGGCATATGCGCGCATTTTATATAGCGAGCGTCACGTATACTATAGGGAAATGCGCGCATATGCGTGAAACGGAACGTAGCCTAGGACTCTACCCCAGACCCCCTATTATAGGGTTTCTAGTTTGTTTCACTTTATTGCACTGCACGGAGTAATAAGAAGGAGATCAAGCTGAAGCGGTCGGCCATGAAAAAGATGGGCTCGAAACACGGTGTCGGAAAAGCACTGTATAGAAGAACTGATCCAAACGCGCCTGTCGGAAAACACATCGAAACACATCGAACATATCGAAATGTAGATTAGCAAAATGTAGGTTAGAGAAAGAGAAATGTATGTCACATAACAGTCAATACTTCCAACTTTTCCCGCAATGGCGCTAAAATCACATCTTCTCGATTTTCCATTGGGGTTTTCCGAAACCGTGTTTCGAGCCCATATTTATCCTCGAGCTTAATCTTGTTATTATTCCGTGTTGCACTGGTTTAAAACTAGTTTAGAATTCTTCGGAATAAAAGACAGTCTTTAAAGTCTTGCTTTGTGAAGCGTTTGATGGATGAATCAGAAGAAAGAATTTTACAAATTGGTCAATCAAAAAGCACTTTGAAGTATTTGTACATTTGTATCATCATGTGTTGACTGGTGTTGACTGTATCTCATTGATGTCTGATTGGACGAAATTTACCCGTCCCCACTCTATCATGCGCAATGCTTCATCTTTAGCATTCCATGTGTAAACTAATGTGAGAATACCGGTTTATAATGATACTTATCACTTCGTCAGTATAATTACAAATACTTCAAAGCATTATTATTTATGTACCAAATTGATGATCGTAAAAGTATTGCTGCGTATCAAAATGGAGACCAATTTTGATACTATTGACGAAAGGTATGAATAGTTTAGGAAGTACAATTTTGTGTTTATTACTAATATTTTAAATATATGTATTTTTCTCTTAATAACGAAACCATGCATGTGTAGTGCAAATGAGAATGTAATAGGAGGGGAAACTGTTGATGTGGTTTTGGAAGAAGCTGAGATAGTGGATTGCGACGTTGATGAACAACATGAGGATAACGTACAGTACCACTTGTATGCGATAAACGGACGTAACAATACAGTGGCGTATAAAGTTATGCAGATCAGCAATAACGATAACGATAGAGAGGATAATGAAGTTTCGATAGCCACTTCTGTGAATAATACTGTTCAAGTTTTGACTTCGCCATTGAATGGACAATTATATGTACTCAGTAATAGTAATGACGTTGTAACATCAGAGTCCACTAAAGCAGTTGTACCTAGTGTAGCTAAACTGCATATAGAAGGATCACAGAATATTGTAACCACTGTAAAGAAGGTAAGTCATTCAATATTACCGATACATTTTACATTATCGTTATTTTTTGTTTAGAAAGATAATTATATTTAGAGGGATGAAAGACGAAGGGTAACACATAATGAAGTTGAAAGACGTAGAAGGGATAAAATTAGCAGTTGGATTTCGAAGTTAGCAAAACTCTTAACGGATTGCGAGCAGTGTTTGGATGAAGAAGACGCAAAACCGAATTTAGAAACACTAGTAAGACATTTGTAAATTCTTATAAAATAAATGAAAAGTTTGTTAGTAAATCAGTATAAGGACAATGGCTAAAAAGATGAAAAATTATTTATTATTACTTTATTTATCATCTTTAATTTTTATTTGTTCTTGACTGTTGTCCTTATATTGTAAATTCTTAATCCTTAACTGGAGGCTTATTACAGTTCTTGTGACGAAAGTGAAAATTACAAAAATGAGCAAATTTACTACGTATTAACCAATGAAATTATAAATATTCTAGTAAATTCTCAATCACTTTTGTAATTTTCACTTCGTCACAAGGTCCACAATAAGCCCCCTATTGTTGAAAGTCGGTTGGATTCTTATCAAATTTTTCGATGTCTGCCAAAGTCTATTAACATACTTTAAATGTGATCAATGCTAATTTTTAATTTTTATTATTAGTTTTGATTAAAAATAAATAAATGAGAGTTTAAACATTAAAAAGATGTAATAAAAATTTTTCTAAGATCAATGGTTTCTTTACGATCTCAGTTAAGGATTATATCTATATTCATGTTTTAATAATTTTTCTATTTTATATTATAATGTATAACTTTTTTATATTATTTGTTAATTATAATATTAATTTATAGAGCAAAGGGGGTATTCTAGCACGAGCTTATGAATACATTATGGATTTAAAAGATACTCCGAATAAATTATCCCTTAGCTTGGACGAAAATATACAATTAATGGAAGAAGTTGAGAAACTGCGACAAGTTATAATTGAACTAACAGATGAAAATTCACAATTAAAAGACCAAATTTCAAAACAGGGAGATGTGACTATACTCGGTACTTAGATCTTTATAAGGATTAAAATGACTTTCTTATTTATATTTTGTGTTGTTGATATAAATGAACATGACAAGATGGAATAACAACTCACATGAACAAGTATAATAGTTATAAAATGTTTATTTACATATTTGTAACTCAACATATGTGTATACAGTGTGTTCTAAAATTCACGATTCTAGCGAAAATACTATAACAAGGAAGTTTTGGAAAAATTGTGAACATGTTAATTTAGAAAATTAGTTATTTTTACTTGAAAATCTATAAAACTTTATAACATTTCTAAATTTTTATTTTAGTCTAATATTCTTGAAATGATTTCATTGTGCTCTGGCCATTTTGACCCATGGTGATCATAAAAAGTTAAAATAAAAATTTACAAGTACCAAATCTTAATTTTTCAAAAACTTTTTGCTATAATATTTTGAGTTGCAAATTTTAATACACTTTGTATGTAATATACATATGTATGTAAATGGTGTGTGTGTGTGTGTATATATATGTATATATATATATATATATATATATATATATATATAACCCGCCATACACACATATGTATATTGTACTTATATTTGGAAAACAATGACAATCATTGTATAACATTCTATTGTACATATTGTAAACAATAGTTAGCGAACAATTAATTTCGCAATGACGAGTCATCGTCAAGATGATTATAAATTAAAGAAATATACAAATATACAAAATGATATCACCGTTTAATCAGTAATCAACTATATGAACGTCAGATATATTGCTTAAACAGTAAGTTTCACTTAATTACTACAAAACGTGAAGTTATTTCTTCTAACAAGAGAGTAGGTCTACAGTATTTACACTTACAAAATACGTCTATATATTTACAGAAAACAGCGATATCATGCGTTATCTGTGCTTTTCTTCTTGCATCGTTAGTGTAGCGTGAGCTCGCTATATGGAAAAAAAATGAAAAAATTATCTGCTTCATCGTCAGAGTGTACGCACACGGTTATCAATATCAAATCTCAGAGAAAATATAAACGTGTTTTTAAACATGTTATGTATACATAACTGTTTAAATTATAATATAATAATAACACTTAGTTTAATACTTATTGCTTTGAAGCGTTTTTCTCAAGTTTTGTGCAGATTTTGTTTGTATGATAATTTTTGAAAGAATAACATTTTCTGAAAAAAAAAGAGGGAGGGAGTATTCTCCGAGATATAAATTAATCAATGTCGAGATAGCGTTAGATATGTAATTCATCTGTCAATACATGAGAGCTCGTAAGTGCAAGATACGAAATGTTCACGGATTTCGATTACTTCTTCGTCGTGACAGTGCAAGTACAGTTTTGTGAATTGTTTGTGAAAAGTTGTGCTTACTTGTGCATTACACAATATCATATCCCGTAGACAACACAAGTGTCGTCAAAAGATGCCTGTAAAATTTATTTAGAAGACGTTCCTCTGAAGGATGTTTTTTAGACCTCCGTGTTGCTTGGGATCTTTCTGCTACTTATTTTTAACAAGTTGCGCCTCTTATACTTATGTTGGCCATTAAAGCGTTCATATATAATAGCGATACTTATTTAAAAAATCACATTTGAACTAATGAGTCATTTCTTCTATAAAAATAACTCTGAAATGAGTTGGGTCCAGCAACAAATTGCGTCTCTCCTAAGTCTAAACATCAACAGGCTAATGATCTCTCTGTACAGTAGGAATCTTGATCCATTCTTTTATCATTATATTGTCCTCGTCGTATATAGTAAATTACGCTGTCGGGAAATAAGTAAAAATATACTTTTCTGTGTTATACAAAACGTAAATATCGCCTCGCCCATACGTGTATTACATCCCTTTAGACACAAATATCAAAACGACAGAATAATCGCGTTTGTCCCCCGTGTGTATGTAGAGAGAAAATCGAAAATGCACCGGTTTCTTTCTCTATTAAAGACCGGATCAAACAATTCTAATGAACGAAGACGTATTTCTTTAAACTTATTGGCAGTGTTGGAAACTTTCAGAATCCGTGATTAAGTTGCTAAAAGATCGAACATTTTGTCAAGGGATCGCATAGATAATATGCACAATTAACAGGGAGGTTCTGCTGGCTGACAGATATTTTCTCGTTGCTAAGTTATGTGTCTTTCATACAAGAGTAGAAAAAATTGAGAGAGATTCTCTCGATCATCTCCTTTTTCCTCTTTCTTTCTTTCATTTTTTTTTCTTTTAAAAGCCTTGCGCTTTGTATCGCAGTTGAATAAGGAGGCGTGATATGCAAGTATTTACATATCTTGACTAATCACTTTTTGCATCTGTATGAGTAATACTGCTACTACGTTGTTCCGCGAAAACATAAATTTTATTTTTTCTCCTTTGCTCTCACGTTTTATCTTCTCGTTCTTTCCTTGTCTTTTCGCCGTTCACAATTTCGTACAAACTACTACAAATATTATCATTACGATGCGAAATAACGAACATTAATTAGGCAGTAAGAGTTACCTTGTATAGCTCGCTGGAGATTTTTTCTACAAAATACATTTACATTTTCGTTGAGAGAAAAGTGTTATGCGGAATCGCTGATCAGAATTTGTCTCGCAAAATCAATCATTATGAATTTTGTGATTGCACTTGCTAACGCTTGTGCAGATCGTGTTATTACAAACGATTAATTCTCGGTGTACATAAAAATTGGTCGACAAAATTATTCTCAAAATAATCTAGACGACGGCGAAGCTCGTTTAATTCAATTTAAATATTTCCTGATCAATCCCGACGCATTTCTCTCTCAAGATTACAACCTCTAGCTTTCCTCCCAAGGAAGCATCTCGGTCGTCAGTCTTTCGATTATCATAAAAAATACAGCCGTGTGACGTACCATTCCAGCTTTACGACCCAAAAAGCGATTGCGCGTGTAACAAATACATTATATATGTATATCATGTTTTCATCGGCATTTATCAAGAATTCGCGATGAAGAATGACTAGTACTTTCTCTTTAGTACTTCATAAGCCCGCTATTGACTTTATGTTATATATTTACTATCTACTTCTCTAAATGTCTCTTTACTTTTCTAATCTACCCTCATGTCCGCTACTATTAATGTAGTTTTTAACGTCAAATATCTACAAGATCGATTATACATCTTTTTCAGTTTGTAACAAATATTTTTCTTCTTTGGACAATGCTTCCCAGACTGAGCACCGTCGTAATGTCGAAGATAATCGAACATTGTTTTAAGACTTAAGAATTAGAGGAGCACCGATTCAAAGACTCACAAAATCCTGGTTAGGCATAATGAGCGACTTTTGTCTGCAAGTATCTACATTGGACGATGACATTTGATAAAAACAAACGTCTGTTTTCGTGAGAGGCAGTAAATGAAAAATCATTGGAAGGTTCTTCTATTTTCCTCTCCACGAACAATGATCAAGATCAATTGATAGCGATTATTTTCCCTGCCTTAGAAGAAGATTCGAGGTATATACTTCGTAGGACAAAATTCACTTATGAATTAACACCTCCGTGCCGTACATATGACGAGGCGCTGTTCATCCTTAGTCCTAGCGATCAGTGGTTCGTTCATCGATCCACAAAGAATTTTCACAATTTGACCGGTTGCAAAATGAGCAATATTACCCTGATTGGAATAATATCAATTGACAAAGATGTTCTCGAGTGCCTACCCGCAAAAGTTTCCAAGTTTCGAAGCAACCAATATCGAGATGTGTGTAACGCCAGGATTTCAATAGGACGATGCAGCGTCATTGGCTGCAGCTTACAGGTCAATATACGGTACGAAGGTAGGCCTGTCTCAGGACGGTTGAAGCCGCGCGCTTTTCTTACTGCTACCAAACATGAACCAAGTTCCGACTTTCCGTCCTAACGAATTGGTGGTGCCCTGACCACCGACCATTGTCGTGGGCATCTCATACGCCGATTCCCTTTTATACGTCTTATCTGTAACATCATTAAATTAATACAAGATAAAAAAATCGATATCGAATAAATCAAACTAAATCTTCGAAAATAAAATTGTAGAACAAATTCGAATAAATTCTAATTTTATTAATTTGATTATCGATGTCACAGTGGTAAATATTTACTGCGAGGTTTAATCGGTGGTCTGTTCTGCTGTCTGTTGGCGGCAAGCCTGGCGAGTTGTCTAGCTGCTGCTGGAAACTCCAATCCGTCGCTTCTATCCTGAGCCACTAGTCTTCGTTCCTCAGCCATCGCCGCTAGCCACCGCCGTTTCTCTTCCGCTGTACGGCAACAGAAAAGCAGCCATTTGTCTCGAACGCAGCTGTACACCTTCAGGCAATGTCTCACTGTTACCCCCGATTGAAGATCTACGAAGAAAATTGATTATTAACTTGATATATCTTCATTATAAGTCATGGTTAGTTATACGTCGTATATTCTACAGATTCTATTTTAATTATTAAATAATTAAAATAGAATCTGTATAGGATGTCTCGCTATGATGACTATTACAATACACAAAATGAAAATTAAAGAAGATTATTATATAAAATCTTATTGTAAATGAAATAACAATTTAAATTATCGATAAATGCTATTAATAGCATTACCTTTTCCATCAGGCACATCAATGACCTCACTAGTGTCGAGATAGATACGACCTTTGTAGACGTAAGTATTACGCTTGAGAATATCTTTCTTGCAATAGACCAGCTGATGATCGAAAAGGAATAACGTAATATTGTTCGTCCACATGCCGGTCTTCACTCTCATCGCCTCACCTTGATAAATTAATTGTGACGAAACTTCTATAAGATCCTCACCCTGCGACCGAGATTGTTATCGATATATTAAACATATTTCGCAACGATCGTTTTAAATAAACCTTGCATTATTCAAGTAAAATCAGTACTTCGAAGACAGTTTTATTTGCAACTACGAAAAGTGACATACCTCCCAACCTTCTACGCGCAATTGCCATGCGGCTAATTTTTCCAAACTTTCCATCCGCCTCTTTCTCTCGTTGATCAATACAGCGACGTCTCTCATCGCTTCTAAGGCCTCCTGGATCTTGTGATAATCCGGATGATCGGTCTTCGTATATTTCAACAGCTCCGC